GTAGAAGCAGGGGGATTTCAGCTTGCAGTACAGAAAAATGCACTTCTCAATTCACCCAATAAATGAAAGTCACCAATGGCCTGGGGACACCAAGTTAGGGTGTCCGAAGTACTGTGTTCCATGTGGTAAGAGTTTCGCATAGTTTTGTAGCTACAGAACACAAGAAAGTTATCAATAATGGTGCTTTTGAAATAGCATGGCAGGGGCATCAGGGCAGCAGGTTAAAGCATGGCGGGGGCATCAGGGCAGCGGGTGATAACAGCATGGACACGTGTCTGCTACAGGCCTCAGATGTCATCTGACGACATACTTCCTGGCCTTTCGGTTGGTGGACAGGTCACAAAGATGTTAGCTTAAATGTAGAGATGGACAACCGATGGCTATTAGGAACCTGAAAATAGCCAAGATGGTTGGGCTCCAGATCTGCAATGCTCCAAATCTCTATAACCATGAAGTTCTAGCCAGGTAGGCAGTCCTGTGGAATGGTTAGCACAGGGAAGGCACTTTTTTTTAAAATTCTGGTAACTTCAATTCACAAGATTACCCTGGGCTACATGGAAAGACTGTGTTAAATACATATGTTAAATAAATGTTGGCCCCTCGAAAAACTTGTCCCAGTTTAAAGGAAATCTCTCTCTCTCTGTCTCTGTCTCTCTCTCTCTCTGTCTCTCTCTTATGACACTCTTTCTTTATCTAGAACCTTCTTTCTGATACTTGATACTGGCAGATATTGGGGTTTGTTGGGTGCTTGCCAAGATTCTTGTGACTCAGCAAGGGATTGGTCTGAGATACGAGGACAGTAGCAAAGTGAGAGGATTTATTAAGGACACTTGAAAGGAAGGAAGCAGACCAGAGCGGAGCAGAGGAGTCTGGGAAGCCAACAGCACAGTGCACAGAGGAACCCAGACTTCCTGTTACGGGTTACACGCCTCTTGGCTCATTTGCTCAAGGACTTTCTCGGGTCTGCTCCATTGCTGTTAGTCCTGGTGGGAGCCGTGTTTCCAGCCTTCCTCCTTGCTGTCGAGTTGTCTCATCTGCTAAGCCCTTGTCCAGAGCCTCTGAACCGCACTTTCCACCCTGCCTCCGGCCTCGTGTGTAACCACTTGTTACTCCTTTGTCTCGTATATACAAGTGTAGCCACACATTGTAGGAAGAAAAAAAAACCCTTACCCGTCCTTCTCAGTGTCATTGTCCAAGCAACTATCATGTCTACAGCCACAACCTGTAAAAGTTAAATAACAACAACAAAAACAAGCATATTTAGAAGCAGGATTTAAGAAAATTATGTGGCATTTTGGTTTTAAACTATAAGAGAATTTAGCAGAAAATAAAGGTAGCATTTTACACCAACAGAGAAAAAATGAATTACTTTACAAGCTATCTAGTCTCAACTGCCTAAGCAAAAACTAACCCAACCCCCCTTCCTCTTTAATCTTTATCAAAGTCAATTCCTAACAGATCAAAAATTTAGGCCCTAAATATTGAAGCCATTGCTCCAAACCAAGCCTGACTCTGCAGTGGAGCTCACCCTGATAGCCAGCTCCTGCCTGCACACCTACATTATATACCTACCCAGTCACCCAGCCACCCAGCCACCCGGCCACCCGGCCACCATGGCCCTTCCCTTTGCCAAACAAAGGGGCTGCTGACTCACTTGATCTGTCCCCAGGGATCCAAGAAGCCCCCAGACACTCAGGTGTCCCTGGACCATCATCCTGATCCCAGAGGCCTGGACAGGCAGACAGCCCCAGCTGTCACCCATGGGTTACACAGGGCAGCTGTCGGGGAGAGGCCAGGTTTCTCTGTCCACATTTGCTTATCCCCTCCCCCCCTCGTTCCCACTTCTCCCAATATGTCCCCTCCCATGGGAGATGTCTAGTGTGAGTATTAGATTTTGGGAGCGGAGACACCGTGTCCCTTCCGAGCAGCATGCCAGAGAAGGGAGATTCGGCCCTTTAATAGAGGGAGAGGGGAAAGACACATGCTTTTCAATGTAAATAACGGTCTTAATGTCCTTTCTGTAACATGAAGTGATATTCTAATGTCATGTTGTGGACACACATTACTTGGATTTTTTAGAGAGCAGCATACGTCTTCTAAACTCTGGATATCTCGTGGTGTTTCCTGGCTGTCTAGAGTTGGCACAGAGTGGACTGCAAGAGTTGGGGGTGAGGCCCCCCACATCCATAGCCCCCGGCCATGGCTTCAGAATGGGGGTCTTAGCACCCGACACAAATGAATTCTGGGTTTTTTGAGGCAGGGTGTCATGTAGCCAAGGCGTACTCAAACTCCTTATGTAGCCAAGGGCTGGCCTTGAACTCCGTTTCCTTCTGCTTCCACTTTCCAAATTTTGAGGTTTAAAGTGTGAACCACCCGAGGGAGAGGGAAAGATGCACTCCCCCCCTTGCCCCTTGCCACCCGAGGCAGATGCTGCCCCTCACCAGACGCAGAGCTAAGGAGAGCGGGCCCTGCACCTCACCGGGGCAATGCAGGAGAGCTGACCCTGTTGATGGTGGTGTGAGTGAGCTGGCCCTGAAAATGGGAGTGTCAGAGACTGAGCCCCGCCCCTTAGAGACTGAGCCCCGCCCCTCAGAGACTGAGCCCCGCCCCCCAGAGAGAGAGACTGAGCCCCGCCCATCAGAGACTGAGCCCCGCCCCTCAGAGAGAGAGAGAGAGAGAGAGAGACTGAGTCCCGCCCATCAGAGACTGAGCCCCGCCCCTCAGAGAGAGAGAGAGACTGAGCCCCGCCCATCAGAGACTGAGCCCCGCCCACCAGAGACTGAGCCCCGCCCACCAGAGACTGAGCCCCGCCCCTCAGAGAGAGAGAGAGACTGAGCCCCGCCCCTCAGAGAGAGAGAGAGAGAGAGAGACTGAGCCCCGCCCATCAGAGACTGAGCCCCGCCCCTCAGAGAGAGAGAGAGAGAGAGACTGAGCCCCGCCCATCAGAGACTGAGCCCCGCCCCTCAGAGAGAGAGAGAGAGAGACTGAGCCCCGCCCATCAGAGACTGAGCCCCGCCCCTCAGAGAAAGAGAGACTGAGCCCCGCCCACCAGAGGCTGAGCCCCGCCCCTCAGAGAGACTTAGCCCCGCCCCTCAGAGACTGAGCCCCGCCCCTCAGAGAGACCGAGCCCCGCCCCTCAGAGACTGAGCCCGCCCCTCATCTACATACCGTGGTGTGGGCAAGGGAGAGAAGCCCCTTCTCACGCCCCTCGAGGCCTGTGGTAGGTCCCTGGGGCCACTAGAGCGAAAGAGCTGCCTGGCACTAGCTGCAGCACTAGGCAAAGGGACCCCCACACCTCACCTAGGCAACGTAGTAGGGCTGGTCCTGGTGTTGTAGGTACTGGTGAGCCTGACCTCAGGACCTGGGAGCAGGGGAATGGGCCCCGCCCCTTGCTGCTTCCTACATGGGAAGTACTGGAGAGCTCACCCTGGTGCTGAGGATGAAGGAGAGCTGCTGCGCTGACCAACCCAGCAACCACCCAGACCCAGAACCACAGCTATGAGCTGGCCCATCCCATCATCCTCCCAATCCACGTGAGCCATCTCAACAGACCCACGTTATTCTTGGATTTGAGGGTTGTCTATGCATACGTATCAGAAGCATTGCTGGGTGTGGAGGCAGGCAGATCTCTGTGAGTTCAGGGCCACTGTGGTCTACATGGTGAGTTCTAGGACAGCCAAAGCTACATAATGAAGCCCTGTCTCAAAAATCACCATCGTCACCACCACCATCATCAGAGCATTAACCAAGCAGGCTTAAAGCTCCATTTTATTCATGTCACTACTATTATTTTATTACAAATGATTTTGATGGATACATTGAGTTGCATGGGGCTATAATTTTTCTAATCCGAATAATTTTAAATTAAAAAAATTATAGCTGCAGATCTGGGTAAGTTTTTTCACTAGAAAGATGATCATTAGAAGTAAGCATACTGACCTCTCAGCTCCTTCTTCTATAAGCTTGCTTCTACGAATCCTCCCCCAAATGGTCTATACACATGCGCCCATGTCTGTTTAACTATTTGCACACATGTATCTATGTATGTATCCCTCTATCTATGTATCTATCCATGTATCTATGTATGTACCCATGTATCTATGTATCTTTCTGTATATGTATGTTGAAAGAGATTTTTTTCATCTACCTTGGTCCCAGTGGGCCAGCTTTCTTCCTCCCACGGGGTCCTGTAGTCACTTAATGAAATGACTATTCTGAGACTTGATATCAGTTACAGTTGTTTAGCCAATGGCTTAGGCTTCCTCTTGGCTAGCTCCCTCTTAATTATTAATCCATTTCCCTTTATCTGTGTATCTCCACATGGCCTTGTCTTACTGGAGAATGTCCGGGAGTTATACCTCCCTGGTGGCTACATGCTGTCTCCTTCTTGTCTTTCTTTTCCCTGCCTAATCTGATCTCTGATCGCTTGAGTTTGATTTCCACGCCATGCTCCCCCCACATATATCAGGAGGAGAGAAGCCACTTGCAAGTTGTCCTCTGACCTGATATACATGGACACACACACACACACACACACACACACACACACACACACGCACACACACACATGCACACACACACAATACATACATGCATACATACATATTTTAATTAAGAATAAAACCTCCTGCCCATAGTGGAGTACAGGATTGTAATACCAGCACTCTGAAGCAGAAGCAGGATTGCTTCCAATTCAAGACTAGTAAGGCTATATAACAAGAAGCCACCTCTGACAAGAAGGGGAAAAGAAAGAAAAATCTTTTCAAATTCTTTCAACTATTAGAAGTGAGGCGAGCTTATAACCTGTTAGTTGTGATTAAATAACTCAACTTCAAAAGTCTAAGCTTTATTTCTCTGGGTGTATCTTCTCTCAGATGGCCTGTCCACACAGCCTGGGTAGCCAAAGCCCATGCCTCGCTATCACCACTCCCAACCCATCCCGAACAGTGAATTCAAATCCAATGCCAAAAGTTACTTATTAAACACAAGAGATAGTGTGCCCTGAGAAACCCATTATAAACTTTGTCTGTGGGAGGGCTGGTCTCTTCCTGAAACCGGGGACAGACAGAGAAGAGGAGATGGGGAATCGCCACGTAAGTGTTCCTTGCCTTTGGGATTCAGTTTTCTGTTTGGTTAGCCTGTGAAAGAATCCATCTGTGAGCTCATGGTTGATAGCCTCATGCTTCCTCACTCTGATGTCCCCTTTGTTGCTAGCATTAGCAAAAGTATACCATGCTTTTTAAATGTATTTGGAATACATTTCTCTTCTGGCAAGTTAAAATCTCGTAAGAGGGGCTTTTAAAAGGTGTTTAAAGTAATGCAATAAAGATTTCCGTGCAGAGGGCAAATGACTTGCATGTGTTTGTAGAACGTACAAGTAAAGCTTTTAGTTTGTGGCAAAATTGTGCAAAACCTCATAGACCAGTCCTATTCAGAATGTGACTGATAGATGGGTTTCTGTTGCAATGATCAATATGGTAAGGTAAGATACTCCTGTGAGGCCATGTAATTCAGACTACAAGGTGAAAATCTTTCATTGTTATCTCCAAGCAGCTTCAAACACCCAGATACTTGCAATAGGTCACGGCATAGACCAAATGTTTCATTTTAGTTCTGAAATGCCTACACTTATGAATAGCATGTCGGAAGAACTGACCCAAACACTTACCATTTGTAATCTTTGGTGCATGAGGCAAATAGCAATTGAATCCGATTTATATGCTGAGATACAGTAAGAATCTGACTAAGGTTTGTGCAGCTGCCGTAGTTTCTGGTAGCAAGATTTTGTGAGTACGATATATTTAATAAAGATGTCTGTAAAGTATGACACTAGGGTAAAGTGACATGGACAAGCGGACTAAAACTCCAGTTTTTCCTGCAGGCTAGCTTTGTGTATAAGAGTTTGCCTTTATTGGCATGAAAGGGTCACCCAATGGTCACAAACCTACAAGAGTTGTTCTCAGAGGGTCATTAATTTTTAAATCATATGTAAATAGCCTTTTCTAGCTAGCCAAAGTTATGAGTTATCTATTTGCTGTCTTTCCCAGAAGCCAAAAACTACTTTTATTATCAATTCTTCGAATGGTCACTAGGGACTTCAGGAGACCACTGGCCCCAACACCTGCACTGTGGAGGACAATTTTGTCCCTTGAAAAACCACCCCTCACTAGACTGGAGCAGAACTTTTGTAGATTTCATTTTTGAATCCCAAGGCCTCTGAGAAGGCAATCAACAGTTGTCCAAAGGGGACATATCACCCTGGTAGCCTTGCACCGACTCAAGTACAGCCCATAGGCACTTTCTTTTCCTTTCGAATTGTTAGATTTCTCACAGATGTAATGTCACCTAGCTACAGTATTTTGCTTTAGGCTGAAAACCTCATTATAGGGCACAGCTTGCAATCAGGGATCACCGAGACATCCAAACATGTGCGCACACTCATGCAGGCACTCACACACGAATGTACACACCCATGCTCACAAGCACCCACCCACACTCCCAGCACACACTCACACACCCAGCCGGCATGCACCAACACAGGCAAAAGGCTTGTTACAATATTTGCAGCTAATGGGGAAAATGTAGCTTTCTAGGCCTTCACTGCTCCCAGAAACATCCGGTTAACAAACCCCTAGGACACTTTGCCCCAAGCTAAGTTACAATGTAGCAAGGAAATTTAACAAGTGTTGAAAGAGTAACTACATCCTAAAAGAGTGAGTGTAAAACCTACTTTGAGAATGAAATATTATCCCAGAAATGGCTCAAACTGATGGCCCTAGCAAACTTCTTGAATATCTACAAACCAAAACCCAAATGGCAAAATCAAGGCACAAAATACTAGTAAGATAGTACTAGTTCCTGCCAGCTTAATATCCAATGTGGTGTCATGCTTACTCCAATCAATCTACCAAGAATGTTTTAGTCGTGGTACTTCCTGCAATGCCATTGGGCCCTTCCCTTGGCTCTGATACTTGACTTCCATATCAACTCTCTCTCTCTCTCTCTCTCTCTCTCTCTCTCTCTCTCTCTCTCTCTCTCTCTCTCTCTCTCTCTCTCTGTGTGTGTGTAGGTGTGTCTGTCACTCTGTCTCTCTCTCTCTCTGTCTCTGTCTCTCTCTCTCTCACACACACACACACCTTTGTTCTTTCCCTCCCATGACTATGAAATGAAATAAGACTTATTAAAATATAAAATGCACACACAAAGGCAGGCGCTGAACTCATGTACCAGCACTTGCCCATTCTTGTGACCCAGGGAACTGCCCTAAACCTTAGGTTAGCATCATCATGTAATATCCAGAGAAGCAATACATTCCTAAGAGCACATCCATAGACCAATACCCACATATAACTATTTGTCTAATTATTGCAAATTCAAGAGGATAGTGGCAGAGGATGCATCTTCCAAGGACTGACATCTGGGATCTTAGCCAGGCCAGAAACGGAAGGATACTTACACCTTGCTTCTCTTCTTCCTCCCCATTGGTGATTTCATTATTTGTATTTTTATCTATTACTCTTGTGTATGTGCATATGTGAGCATGCTTACCGTGATGCATGTGTGAGCATGCTTACCGTGATGCATGTGTGAGCATGCTTACCGTGATGCATGTGTGAGCATGCTTACCGTGATGCATGTGTGAGCATGCTTACCGTGATGCATGTGTGAGCATGCTTACCGTGATGCATGTGTGAGCATGCTTACCGTGATGCATGTGTTGAGGTCTGAGGAGTCAGCTCTCTCCTTCCACCTTTAGATGCCTTCCAAGAATAGAACTCAGGTCTCCAGGCTTTCACATGTGCTTTTTACCCAGTGAGCCATCTTGCCTGTCCTGACTTTCTTTTATTTCTTTTCTTTACTCTCCCTGCCTCCCTCCCTCCTTCTCTCCTTCCCTCCCTCCTTCCTTCCCTCCCTCCCTTCCTTTCTTTTTTTGGTGCTAAATACATAATTCCTTGTGACTAGCCTGTTTGAAATAGCAGTAAGCAAGATACTGGCTTAGTGTCATCACACCATAGTCAGGGTTTGCACAGCCTAAGTTGGCCCCTACGCTGCTGAACATCAAACATAGAAAAATAAGATACATAGAAAATTGTGCTTAGAGTTAGCTAGATGGCACGCCAGTTCTTTCTGCTTTGTTGTGTGGGTTGTTTCCAAGAGAGTTGGTATCTAGAGGGAAATAGGAAGTTGATCTGACCACTAACATGTGACAAATAATAGAGAGAGCGAGCGAGCAAGGCTTGGGAGGGGCGCTACAAATGTGGAAATGCTCACAAAGCCAAATGGATGGGTGGCTGCTGGGAAATTATTTGCAACATTGATAAAGAGAGTCTAGAAAGACCCGCAGCTTTGCTATTCAGCACTGGGCCCCTGACCAGGGGAAATATTACCAGGACACTTATCATAAATGTGAAACTGGGGCTATAGAGACGACTCCAACCATAAACGGGTTGCTTTACAAGCATGAGGACATGAGTTCAAAGTCCCAGCAACCAGGTAAAAATCCAGGCATAGTGTGGCAGCACATGTCTGTAACTCCAGGACTTCACAGGCAGAGACACGAGATCCCTAGAGATTTCTGGCCAGCTAGTTTAGATGAATCTGGGCATTCCAGGTTAGTGAGAGACCCTGCCTCAAAAATAAGGCAGCAGGCTAGGCATTGGCACACCTCTTTAATCCCAACAGTCAAGAGACAGAGGCAGGTGGATCTCTGAGAGTTCAAGGCCAGCCTAGTACTTAACAAATTCCAGATCAGTCAAGGCTACATAGTGAGATCCTGTCTATAAAAGAAAAATAGAGAAGTGATTAAGGAAGACACTGAGTATTAACCTCTGACCTCCACAGGTGTGCACAAGCACACACCTGCACACACACCTGCACATCCACACACACACCCCACACACGAAAGAAACACAGAATCTTAGTGCCACCCGGAACTTGAGTCTGTATCTTGTGCTCCTTCCCTGAGTCTCTTAGAGTCTCGGGTACAAGTTCCCAACATTAGATGGACATTGGGTTCACCCGGGGAGTTCTAAAACCTACTGGTGTCCAGGTCCCGCCCTGGAGACTTGAAATCACTTGCTGTGGCTGTTGTCCTGGACATCAGGGTTTGTAAGTGTTCCCTCGAGTGACTCTGAAGTCCCGTGCATCTGCCTAACCCTAGGGAGGGCTCGACACGCTGCTGAAGCCAGGAGTCACCAGGAGTGTCTGTGAAAGCAAAGCCACTTGTAAGTCTTCCTTCTGCCCGGCAACTTGCTGCACTGCCCTTGAACGTGCCGAGGCAATGACTTGCTTGTGCTAATATTTGGCCAACATAAACATTACCTAATGTGGAGAACAGTTTGGGACCAGTGGCAGATGATCACTGAGGGAGCCCAGGTTGAAGCTAGACCACGTGATACTTGGGAGGTGCACAAACAGGTGGCGAACAGGCCTAGATTTCTAGGAGAAGACAGCGAGCTCTGGAGGCAAGTGAAAACATTGTAGGAGTTTCAGGGAATACGGTACAATTGTAACCAAGTGTATACATTCAATTGTGACGGGTTACTCAAGGGTACCACAGCCAACCCCCATCCGAAGCAGCCTGAAACCACGCCTCTCTTAGCAGGAAAACATTTGTGGTGGAAGGCTACTCTTTTGGGTCACCACACTGAGTATAGAAAGTCCCCAGAAGGAGACTGATTTTCATTGAAGATCTAGATACTTTTCAAGTGAAATTATGTGCCTTGGGCTTCTGGAATTTCTTGTCTAGGGCAGACAAAAGCAGCCACATTGACATAGTGAGAAGGCCGCCCAGAACACCTAAAGGAAGTATTGTTACACTCACATAAGAAAGAAAATGAAACTCACAAATTGACACAGGATCTGAGGGCAGCAGGTGCCAGGAGCCATATAAAGTGCCTTAGAGTAGAGATGCATGTGTACATAGCCCATTGGCACAGCCTGGCATCCGTGTTCTTAGCTCAGAAGCAAGAACTGAAAGTCAGCCAGGCAGTAGTGGTGCATGACTCTAGCTAATTCCAGCACTCAGGAGGCAGAGGCAAGGGTAACTTTGTGGTAGAGGCAAGGGAAACTCTGAGTTTGAGGCTAGCCTGGT